CATCAGGAGCACCTCTACACTTGTGTCTCCAGTCCACGGCATCACTTCCTTGTGGTCCTGTCCCACTGCAAATGCACCTCCCTCCTGCCAGCAGACCTCTTCTGCTTCTACAGCAGTTTTACTGCTCCAGTTTTGGACCTGAGCACACCTCTGCGCTGGCCCGATCCCAGCAGGCATCAGCAGTGCAGCAGCAAAGCCCTCCCTTACCCAGCTTTGTGCAGGACAAGCATACGTACTCTGTCATGTTCCTTCAGGGGGACTATCTGAAACCAGACATTTTGAAATAAAAAGGAACAGTTCAGACGAATTAGCACAGATCAGTCACACCAGTGGTCGAGGCACGTCCTTCACACATCGGCCCTGCAGGAAGCTGGGTTTCTGGGACGTGACGTGCTGTACCACACATCCTGAAGTGGCACCAAACAAGCCGGGGTGAAGAGGTGGCTCCACATCTGGCTCGGGGTAACTTGAGAGTCCAAGATGCTGCCCAAAAGCAGACTCCCTGGTTTTGGGGTTGGTGGCATGTAAGCTGTCTTCAGGGATCTCCTGGTTCTGAGCCATGCTGCACAGGGCAGGGAGCTGTTCCCTGGCCAACAACAGGCAGGTGAATGGGGCAGGGAGGTGAGGGCTGGTGAGAGCACCAGCGGATGGCAGGAGGTAGAGGTGTCTCACTAGAACGCCCTGCTCTCCCAAATAAAGGACATACTGAAACACGACCTCTGCCCTCCCAGTGACTATGGAAGGAGGAAAGGACATCTGCCATCAACCCACCTGGAAGCTGCTCTGGATTTTTTCGCTCAGGCCGTGGCAGCGGCTCAGAGACTCATCCTCGGTGCTGTGAGAATCATTTTCGTACAGGATTCTCTGACCTGGTACGAGCACTTTGACCAGCTGGTCTGCCTTCGCCAGCATTTGGGATGTGTATACCACAGCGTCCACCAGCCCCTCTGCAGTCACAGCCATGTTCATTGCGTAGAAGGTGGTGTTGCTGTAGTAGAGAGCCACAGCGTCCGCCCCGTTCTGGATGGTGTTGGGGGGCAGCCTGATCATGGGTGCTGGGCTCATGGCGCTGCTCCCCACCAAGAAGTAACCCAGCTCATCCGTGTGGTGTCCAGACAGGTCCAACACCCGGTAGGCCCGGTTATTTTTACCGTTGTAGAGGACCAACCAGTATCCCTGGAGGTCAAAGCGTGTCCGTCCAGTGTAGAAGAGTTCAATGTACTCTGCATCCTCTCCTCCCCCTGGGTTGTCTGGGTTCACCTCGTTGATGAGGAGCTTGGCCACTTGCACAGGTTCTTGAGTCCCTTCTGGTATCTCTGATGGGACACCTTGGAAGGCAAAAATGTCACAAATACGGGCCTAAGCACAGAGCCCCAGGGAAACAACACAACGTTGCACACTATTTTCCTGGGGTGAGACCAAATTCAGCAGAGGACTGAGGACGCTGGCTCAGATTTTTATCATCTGTGTGCTCCACACTCCTCAGAAGAGCCCTGGCAATACTCTGGCTAATGCCAGCTGTAACAATAGAGCTTGCTGTTATTCCAGATAATGAGCAATATGGGCTCTAGTAACTGGATGCGATGGAACTGGAAGGGATCTTTGCCAGAGTTGGGGAAATGGAGGGAGGGACATCTCCCTCCTCTAGGAGAGCTAGACCCACATGTCTACCCTCGAACTCATCGTATCCCCCAACCTGCGAGAATGATGACTGGTACCTGGAGGCAAGTCTGGCACATTAATATCCTTGAAGCAGGAGCTTTCCGCTGTGATGTTCCTTCTGTCAAAACTCACAAGTCTGGGCGTCTCTAGGAAGGTCTTGAAGGCTAGCAGCAGGCTGCTCAGCTGGTCCTCTGACTTAGCAGTTAGCAGAGTGGTGAACACAAGCCCCAGGTCCTGGCAGGCTGCCTTTGGCTCTGCAGAGGCAAGCAGAGAACTGCCTCAGTTTCCCCATGCTGCCAAAACCCCACTTTCTCCTGGAAGAGACACAGAGCTCACCAGCTCATCTCTACCACCACTGCCCTCCTGGTCAGACTGACTCAGGGCAGCTCATAGCATCCGCACAATGCTGTGAGCTCTGCCTGTGCCAAGGGCCATCTGGGACCAAGTCACACAGCACACCCAGATACTGTCTTCATCCTTTTGAAGCCTTGTAGTCCCAACAGCAAACAGAACGGTCTCTTTGGGGGGTGTCTGAATGTAAGCTAAACATTACGCTGCTGACACTGCAGCCTGCAAAGTCATGCCTCTTCTCTTCATGTGTCTGCATGTGCTAATCACACTCGTGCACTAACCTAGTAGGGCTATCAGAAAAGCAACTCTCCTGGTTTCAGCTGCAATAGAGTTAATTTCCTTCCTAGTAGCTGGTACAGTGCTGTGTTTTGGATTTGGGTTGAGAACAATGTTGATAACACACCGATGTTTTAGCTGTTGCTAGGTAATGCTTACACTAGCCAAGGACTTT